ATGGAACGGACACCCAGCGCAACGTGAATTTTGAGATATTGCATTCGTTGGTCTGGAATGGAGGGGTCTGGAACGTAATTCGGGGACTTGATCTGGAGCTCTGGATCGGGGTCTGATTCGGCAAGTGCCCTCGCCCTTGTTCCGGACCCTTCATATTGACCGGTAGCCTTTTCTGCTGATTCCATCGACCTTAGATCTGCTTCCCACAAAACCTGAAGCTAATTACAATTCTGCGCAACCGCCGGCAGGCCATGCGCCCTTTGTCCTGCACATCGGCTGGCCTGCGACATGTCCATGGGCATGCACATGGGCCTCAGCGAACAGGCCTTTGTCAAATCCGCGCCTTGTCAACTGCGAAGCCAGACCACCGTTCGATTAAGGCCACGGCCAACCACAGCCAGAAATGGGGTCATACATGATGGTCTCAGCACGTTCATCAAGGACAAACAAATTTGCAAAGACAGTCGAGCTACAGACCATGCCACCGTAGTATGCCATGTCTTGGCCGTCGTAGCCCATGCCTGAAACGAGAAAACTGAGCTGAGATGTATGCACACACGAGCTCACTGAAGCATGGCAAAGCGACGGAGGTGGCCTGCCATCATCATGGCTTCGTCGCCCATGTAGGCAGGTGGAAGGCACATCTCTTCCTCCCCGTTCAGCCTGGAAATGACATGTCAAGAATCAAGCGACAGAGAAGCAATGTCTTTGGCAGAGCAAACTTACACCTTGCAATCTGAACATCATTTACTAGGGCGGCAGTCTGAACAGTAGCAGTTATCCCCAGACTCCATGGAGGGCTCAGCTAGCAATTGACAAGAGGATACCAAGTTTGGCAGCGCGTACACTGCACTACAGTGCGGCGCTGTACCTAAACAGGAAGCACGAGACCAAGTCGGGCACCCGTATCCCTCGTTCAGCGGTGGCACCTGAGCAAGTCTCAAGCTGGGATCAGATCCGAGGGCAGGCGTGGAACTCTAGGATTCAGAATGCAAGCCACACAGTTCCGATGAGCCTCTGATGTTCTGAAACGATAGTGGCACTTGCTGCGCCATGGTCAGAACTGTCAGTTGGAGATTGCAACATGCTCTCCCTGGTGCAGTGCATTCAGAAAATACTGCTGTTTTTTACAAAATTTGTCGGCTGTCAGAATCAAAACGAATTGTTGTAGGATGGGGAAGTCTTCTTATTGCAATATGATGTTACGCAGCCAGCTCGGATCACAGCAAACGACCTGTGAGTTAGCCTTCAGGTGCCCCAGGCCTCAGCTCCATCCACGGGAGCTGGCTGCATCACTGGCGACCTCACGTGGCTCTTTGCTAATAGACGACGTCACAAGGCTGCCATGTGGATTCTGAAGTCTCTGTTCATGGCATGATGCAAGTATGTGATCTTTGATTCAGCAGCTGCATCATGCTGGCATGGGAAAAGGAAAACTTAGCGTCACGCGGAGTGTCGGGCACGAAGGATGCCTCTTTGGAATTTTCCTTGCCGGGACACTGCTTCTCAGCGTTGCTGGAGACTTTTGCTCAAAGACTGACATTGCTTCCGGTAACTGTGCCGATCTCAGGCTCTGGCCCGAGGCGAGTTCTGACCATTGGCTGTGGGCCTGAGCAAGCACAGATGCCTGAAAGCCGTGTTTGCCCTCTGAGGCTCGCAGGTCCACCTCTTGCAGAGGAGGTGCTTAGGCCCTTCTCACGCAAAACATCTGAGTGCTGTGCGCCCGTGTTGGGGCCAACTGAGGTGATGGAACCTGCCGGTTGGAGAAAGACCCAACTCATCTGTTCGAATTGCAGCTCTTGCAGTATCTAACACGTCGTTGACAGGAATCAGAGCTCTGCAAGCCAAGCACAGCATGCATATCGCACTGAGGCATTTCCAAGGAGAGGCGCTGTCTGTTGCCCTCTGCTCTGCTGGGCCATGCAAAGGAAATCTCTCAGGGTTGTGCCAAGTTCAATCGCACTGCAGCAGCAACTCAGAATCCATGTTGGCTCGACATGATCTTGAGCAGCTTCTGAAACTCTGCGAGCCTGAGTGTGCACAGGCCCAAAAGTGTAGAGCAGATTAAGGCCCACAGGCATTTCAAATACAGTTCCATGTAGTATCACCGAGGTTGACACTGATTGAGACCCTTTACAACCAACGCAGTACTTGAGCACGAATAGCACAATTGCTGGCCTTCAAAAAGTCCACCAGCTCCGGAGAGCTTTGCATCTTCTTAGCTTCTCCTAGCTTCTTGCATCTTCTTGCATGCAGGAATCGACAGTCTTTGGTCACGGTCCTGAGTATACAAGAACTTGAGCAAGTTGATATCTAGGGCTCCAATGCATGAGGAGAACGTGGGACTAATGCAACCACACAATGACACGCATGATGCTATTCACCTCACCATGACGAAGCAAGGAAGGATAGTGCGCACCACAGAAGCTGTGCAGCTAACATCGCTGGGCTTCTGCATCCACGATCGCCACGTTCTCCGCACAGGAAGCCTGCAGCTTCCTCATCTCCTCCTAAGCTTCCAAGAGAAGAGGCGGTCTTGGGCCTGTGGATTTCGTGTCATGCTAGGCCTAGCATGCTCGGACCTGAGAGGGCATCGTGCGGGGAGGGTTGTCAGCAACAGTAAGAAGCTCCGGATCCGTGTTGCTGTTGGCAGTCTAGGCCAAATGGATGTGCTTATGGTGCATCTGGCGTTTTCATACCGCAGAACCCTGGCCTGGCACCATCCATTTCGATTAAGAAATCCGCCGAGGCCGGCGGCCTGGGGCATTTAAATCTAAGGACCAAGTACAAGGGAGTTTTTCCCCACACCCTTAACACCCCTCCGAGGCCCTTTGACCCTCCGGAAGTTTGACGGCCACCAGGTTCGGAGGTGTCTGGATTTTGGGAGTCTGGCTTGACTGCTGATCCGCAGGTCCTGGAGCTGTGGCAATCTGTTGGTTTTTCGGATCCAGTTCCTCTTCAGCCTCCAAGCCGAGGCAGCACTAGCGCTGGCGATTAATTTAGGGGAGCTTGACTTATGACTTGCAGAAACTCTGTGAAGGTTTCTGGTTTCTCTCCGGATCGCGAGCTCAAAGCTGCCCGGGCGGGGCTCCTATCTGTCTTGCCGCGTCACTGGGTTGCGGGGCCTCACGGCCCGAGCACGGGCAGCCACAGAGACAAAAGCCTGGGGGCAAACAGGGTGGTGCATCAAGGAGCTGGCTGATACTTGCATCACTTGCATCACGCACGACCGATCACCCCATCAAGCTCATTTCCAAATTCCTACACGCAAACGCAAACTGGCCCTGCCTCCTCGAATGAAAGGGTGTGCTGAAGCCGTTCCTGTTTGGAGGCTGATGGATGAATTGACCGACCCGAAGCGACCGATGCCACTCAGCTCGGAAACATTCCTTACATCCTGTTGAGAATATCTATCTTGGTGGTGTTTGTAGTGTAGTAGACTTCTTGACTGAGTGATATGAGGCGGGGATTCCGTGGTGAACGATAGTATTGGCACATTAGCGGCAATCATTAGCTCCTTGGCACTTGAAACTTGGCGCTGCCTCATCATGCAGCTCCGCATACTGGGCATCTACCCCTGCAACATCTTCGCCTTCCAGTAGTGCCTCAGCACTGACTGTGACAGCGCCGTCATGAATAGGGAATAGGCTGACAGGTGGACAGGCATAGCATGGATCTGCAGCGATTTGCTCGCTTGACTACAGCAGTGTACACAACAGGGGAAGTGGCATTTTAAGTTTGTAACTGTTTGCAGAGATCCAACTGAGCCAGGCATCTGCGGCGTGCAGAGACAGCGAAGCCTGAGGCTGTTTTTAGGTTTGCACTTCACGTACCTTCAACGCTCCTGTTGTGCTTGCAATCCATGTATAAGTTCATTGTGGCACGTTCTTCTTCCAGGCCCTTAAAGGTTGCCATCTGCGTATCTCAGGAAGCTGCGCATACGTAAGCAGACTGCAAAACACGTCTGCATTCAGTGCAAGGCAAGTGCTCTGAAACACATGACAGATCTCCCTTTGTCTGACTTCCATCTCTTTGACGTGTGGGCCATGCCTAAGAATGCAACACATGCTGCACTCTTCTAGATCAACCCTCATCTACCCTCATGTGACTCATGTGGACCTTGAGCTTGATGCTAGATCTCTGCCAGGGCACAAGGAGCAGCACAAGCTTCATGGAGTCGCAGCACCAAATGGCTCAATGTAGAGCATGCCGAAAGATGAGAGCGCGGTGCTTCAAAACAAAAGATGACAGCAAAGACCTTCTTGGTATTGAGGTGGAACCACTGCCCACTGCTTTGTAGCAAGAACTCACCAGTAAGGATCACTTTAGCAAGCAACTTGACTGAGCCAGGACATGCATGCGCATCTTTGAAGAAAGGACAACTGAACGGTTCTTACTCAAGCAAGCCAACAAGCAAATCAAACCATTTCACTTCGAGCATCGCCCACAAAGATCAATCTTCCGTCTGCTCAGTAGGGAGCATTCCCTCATTCCCTACTAAGCAAGAAATCAATCATTTGAGAACACCTGTCTTCAGCCTTGGGACACTCTGCGACTGCACGTGGCAGTGTTAGGGTCTAACCTTTCTTTCCAACATTTCCAAGTGCATTATTGGATGGGCACTGCAGAAACACTCTGCAATTGACACCTGAGCGGCTACTTTTTATTAATCTATTGTCTGGCAGATTGACTGTATTTTGAACCCTTGGTCCGCCATCTCGTTCCCGTGTTTTTTGATCTCATTTGTTTTGGGGCTGAACATGTTGTGAACTCGTCCGCAACCTTAGCACATGATAACTCTTATAACACACGCCAATTTCCCGACCTATAATTCAATGCGTGGTCCCTATCTAGTCCCCAAGTGAGCACTCTAGCAGAAAAGACCTGCGAGGCTAGTCTTCTGCTAAATAAATGGCTAAGTCAATGCGGCTGCTCATATGGGGCGTGGCACTAGAAGAAGCTAACAACGGCACTTTCAGGGCAGAGAACAAGGACATACTGGCAGACATCATGCTGAGCATGTCGGGCCTGCTCTTCAAGCGCTAATTAGTCCAACCCGAGAGTTCCTACTAGTCTTTGCTCTTACTACTGTCTATTAGGCCGCAGCAGCCACTCTCAGACCCTGCTGGTGGCTGTTGTGAACTACTACAGTAGTCACTATCAGGGGGGCCTGTGCTAGTCCTTATTTGGTCGGTGAGGTCTTGAGCCTTCATCTATAGTGGGGCGTGCCATGCATCACCTCAGAAAGCTTATCCTTGCATGGCCCAGCCTTCAGCAACTCCGTGGCTTCGCTGCGCGACCGACGAGCTCGGAGGTAGCTAAACTGCGCGATGCCACACAAAGCGGGATCAGTGCAAGTTAAAGAGGCATCCGAAGGTTTCCTCATCTTATCACAATCTCCTTCGCCTAAGTGTTAGGAAAAGCAGAGCGTGCTACCAACCGCTGCATTGCTCACACGCATATCCGATGCCACTCTTTTTCACGGATGCTAACTCGCGTCAAAGCGTGCTTCTTGCCTGCCGCCCATACGGGCTATGCAGACACTGTTTCGAGGACTGCATCAAGGCGATTTGCTAATGAATGTGAATGCAACCGCGTCTGAGGACCCATCTTGCAGCTCTGAAAGTTGAAAAATCGCCCAGAT